ACACACAGAGATAAAATTGAAAAGGGGGGGGGGGGGAGTGATAACCTGATCACCCCATTGAGTACGGCGATTCTCCTGGCACTGGGCATATTTCATACAGGAATAAGTATTGTTTCCTCAATATCTGCAGGATGAAGTAAGGTGCCCCCTCCCTTAAACAGCAGTCGGGAATGACAGAAGCTTAAGGGGAGGGGGGTGAATTCCTGCAAAATAAACAGCAATGCCTTATAAAAGTGCAGCTACTAACATCAAACACTCTTCTGCTGCAGTTAAGCTAGAATGAGCTCCATACCTGCAACCAGCTGAAGGGTTTTCTTCAATTCCCTGCGTCCTGGAGGTTGCTATATATCCAATGGGGGTGATTAAGTGTGGTCTCCCACTGCTGCTTTCAGTTCTGCCTCGACCAGGTTGCTGCAGATGCCCATAAGAGCTCAGCTGAAACGAGCTGCGACGGGAGAGAGCGAGCCTCGCTTTGCAGGATCTCAGGCGAGCTTTGGTGCGGCTGTGAAAGGAACACTGGAGGCTCAGCACTGACTCTTCTCAGTCACTGCGTGGGGAATCTCATCCAAGTCTGAGCTTTCTATTGGCTCTGATCACCAAACAAATCACACCAGCCACCCCCCTGCCTCCACCCACCCCCCTCTCCACTCAGCGATTGTTTCTCATCGAGCCCACAAACATTGCAGCTACAGCCACTCGCTGGGTTGCTGCTTTCCTTCCTCGGGCTGTGGATTTACAACCCTGTGCTCAACTCTCCTTTCTTTTCCAGTCAGGCTTCCAACCCAAGTTCTCCTGTATTTGTAAGAAAATTCTTCCTGTACTAACTCTACACCTTGGATCCTCTTCCTCCTTTTCTTGAAGGGCCTGCAGTGTTAAGAATACATGAAGGTGGTGATTGTGGTCAATGTTTGGCATTCAAATTCAAACACATTGAGTTTCTTGACTTACTCCCCCCCCCCCGAGCCTAATTACCTAAGGGATAAAATGGTGAAATCTTCAACTGTCAGGACAACGTCCTCATTCCCCGTGTTAGCTCTGTTTCATTGTAGAGTCTGGGCTAGTCTTCCAATTTTTGTTTCATTGAAGTAAAGGGGCCATTTATAATCTGCATCAAATCATGCCATTTACACAGAAACTGCAGGATGCCAAACCACCTTTTCCCTTAAAAAACAACAAAAGATCTGGTAGCACTTTATAGACTAACAAAATATGTAGAGGGTATCATGAGCTTTTGTGGGCACAGCCCACTTCTTCAGATAACCTGAGACTTAATTTATTTCATCAGAGCAACTGAAATGACTCCGACTTCCTGCTGGAATTTTGTGGCTGCTCTTCTTTTCTGAGGATGGTGCAAGGTGGCTGGTAGGATAGGATTTTTTTGCACCCACCAATTGTGCACTTTGGGGTTCAATTCTGAGTCCGATCTTCTGAGAAAACTGACAGTCTTGTTTCTTGAGTCTGACCATCTGTTTAAACAAGAGCATAGCTGAAACAGAGGAATAGGTTGTTTTGAGCCCTCTCAGTGTAGGAAGATGTAACATTTCCTGTAAACATGTTGGCACAGTTGCCTGTGAAAATTAGGCAGAACAGAATGCATCCATGATAACAGATGTATCCTTAATTAAAACTATGACACATACTTGACTGAGGCTGTTGAATTAAGTAAGATGCATTAGTTGTCATTATAAGTCATTTACGCAAATTTAGCACACCATAGCATGTGAAATGGGGGAAAAATAGAGTTCCTGGTATACACCTGTTTGCTAACAGTGGGGAAATGCTGTTTTTAAAAGGGCCTTCTCTGCAGCACTTGATTTCTGTGGTTACTCTTTATTGATCATACCATGTTGGATAGTCTTCCTCGTTCACAATCCAGTGTGTATATCATTTGTCTCTGTCGGGTATACTAATTTTTTTAATGAACATTGGGTTTTTTTCTGGCAAATGCCAGAAAAACAAATCCAGGAAATAGAAGTTTTGAGACGATTTTTAAATAGCGATATTAAGGGGAAAAAAACTACATTTGGGATTTCATTTACCATTGGCTACCACTGTCACTGTTGTGTGTCATTGTGACATGTCATTGCCATTGCAATGGTGCTGCACCCCTGTAAGACTGTCAAATACAGAAATGTATCTGGTTCTTTATTATTATTTTATTTATTAGCTATCTTCGTCATGGATGAGCCTAGAGCCAAAGTCGCATTTCCAGCAGCCTGGCCGTCAGCATCTGGAACAATTACACCCGCAGCATATCCAGCCAGTGGCCACTGCTCATCTCTGTGCCCCAGCTCACACTTGTGTTTCCTTGTTACTTCAAAAACAGATGTATTTCCTCTTGCATGTGACTGTTTCAAATTATCTTCCTTTCTCTTCTTTCTTCCCCTCGTTACACAACAGCGAGTGTGCTGGACTCTCCCCATTTTAAATGCAACAACTTCTCTTGCAGATCCTACCATACTTGCCTCTAAAGGTAGTCTGGGGAGAGTTGATCCACAAACTGAGCAGAGATTACTGCCCCATCCTGATGGATGAATGATACTGTTTTCCACCACTCATCGCCCATAATGGATGGTTGGGAGTTTGTTTTTGTTTTACCCAGAAAATGATGTGCAGTATGCTTTGGCAGTCACCCAGGAGAGATTCAGGTGCCACCCAGCTGATTGGCACAGCGCCCACAGCATATGTTTATCCACGCATGCCTCAGTACACATAACAAAAATTATTCCACACATGGATGGAAAAAATTAGAGAGAACATTAATGATGAGTTGGAGCAAACCTTTTCAGCCTGGTGGGCTGCTTTGATAAGATTCTTTGTCATAGCCCCTCCGTCAGTTCTCATTCATCTTGTTTATTGATGCTTCATATATTTTTTTTTCTTTATGTCTTGCCTGGCAATGAAAAAAATGCCCTGAATCTCCTATAGCAATCTTAGTTCTTAGCAATCTCTTTTGCTCTCTGAGCTGACTTAAATACTGTTTATGGTAAAATAGCCTGTGACTTAATATGGCTGTGTACCTAGTGGTGCTCTCTCTCAGTGTTTCTCAACCTTTTTTTTTTATAAAGTACCCCTTTTTCAAAAAAAAATTATAAGTACCCCCAGTACCTACAGTTTTCAGACATGTAATTTTTTTTCTACTATTGCCACACATTTGCTTAAAAAACTTAGTCATAGCCGGGCGGACGATGAAATGTTTGGGTGTAAAAAGTACAAAAATAATAAAGCACTGGAAAACTTAAAACAAAAATTCAGTTCTCTCCAAATTTCAGTTGTGGTGTCTTATCTTCCAGACTTCTCTTGAGTACCCCTAAAGGTACTCATACCACTGATTGAGAAACACTACTCTGTCCTGTTGTCCCCCCAACTGATATGCTGGTGGATTTCTTTGCACTTTGGCTAACTTCCCCTTAGCCCCAGTTCATTTTAATACCTTTTAACCTGTCTGTTTTATTTATGTCTGCTTAAGTGCTTATTTGATCTTTTCTTTCATAACTATAAATGACCTTCCATAGGTTTTCGTAATCCTAGAAGGCATGTGGGGAATTTAAAGATTTAAAAGTTCTTTGATTTGGTAAATATTTTTTTTTTCATTATCTGGCTTGTTGCTTTCTAAAGCTGAAATGCTGTCTGTTCTATTTGCTCAGTTATAATGCTTATATTACTCACATATTCATGGGTTTTTTTAATTGCAGTTTTAGTCATAAGGCTAATTGAGTATTTTGGAATCACAGGAGTGTTATTCCTTTGCAAAGCAATTATTTAGAAGTGTCAGATGTGATAGGGTTTAGCCTGATGAGGATAAATGATACTGTGTTTATTCCTTTGGCCTGGTCTATACACAGTTTTTGCAATGTATAACTACGTTGTTTAGGTATGTGGTTTTATACCTACGTATAGGGCACTACCAAATTCACGGTCCATTTTGGCCAATTTCATGGTCATGGGACTTTGAAAAATAATAGGTTTCGTAATTTCAGCTATTTGAATCTGAAATGTCATGGTGTTGTAATTGTAGGGGTCCTGACCCAAAAAGAAGTTGTGGGAGTGAGGGTTGTAGCAGTGGCACCTGGTAACTACTGATAGTGAGGGTGCACAATTGAAAGGTAATGATGATACGAAGCAGGGATATAAAATCCAGTTTAATTAGTTAACTAGTTAAACGTTACGTTTAACCGGTTAATTGATTAAATGGGGATGGGCGGGGGGGGCTGCCGCTGCCAGGCTGGAGTGACCCTCACACCTTAGGCAGGTGCTGCTTCTGACCCCCGTGCAGGCTGGGAGTCGGCAGCAAGGAAAGGGAGCCTGGAGCTTTTGTGGGGCCGAAAGCAGCAGTGGGGTAGAGTGGGAGAGCTTCCAGCTCCCAGCCTATGCAGGACGGAAGTGGCAGCAAGGAAAGGGAGCCTGGAGCAGCCCTCCGCCAGCAGGGGGCTGCTCTCCGGTAGTGGGTAACCAGTTAATTGGTTACCCATTCACATCCCTAGTATGTAGCAAGATTCAAGGCGGGTCCTAACGAGAAAGGAGTTTGGGTTTCTAGTGCTACTTTTACTCTCACATTTTGTGATGCTATGTAATACAAAAGTCTCCATCTGCTGTGTTTCTGGTTCTGACACTTGAGAACCTTAACAAAAAGAGCACTCACAGACATTCTTATGCATCCTGTCACTTGCTTCTTTGGAGTATGCTCACTGCTACCTCAGAATAAAGTGCCGGAATTAATCTCGTGAATAAATATAACCCCAACACAACCCTAACCCTCCACAGTACCACTGATGTACCTGGCATTGGTGCGTTAGCTTTCTTTGCATAAGAAACTTCCAAACTTAGTTATCTGTTTGCCATTGGGCAAAGCTAATAATGAGAATGTTATTAAATCAAATCAGCTTTAAACAGACTGTCCTTGAACCGACTTTTCAGGAAAACTAGTAAAAAGCATAGTAAAATTCCAAGGCCTAATGAATACATTTGTAAATGCCACACACACACACGTGCACGCACACACACACACACACAACACTGACTGACTGAAAAAGTTTGTCATGTGAGAACGATTTTTAATCAGACACCAGTTGATTTTGTTATAAAAGTCTGAAAGTTTAGAAATAAATTCCAGCTCGCTTCCCCTACTCCCATGCCTACCACCAACAACCCGGCACCACCTCCCTCCCATTCAAAGCCGGCGTTAGAGAAAATGGTGCCCTGGGAGAACATGAATGTTTGTGCCATGGCTCCTGCTGCCTTCCCCACATGCTCACTGCTCCAGTAGCTCCCACTACAACCCTCACTCACTCCCCACACCCATCTCCTCTGGCCAGCTCCATGTGCTCCCCCAGCACTCCATCCCTACACCCTAGCACCCCTGTCCTCTCTGCCTCACTTCTCCCAAATACCCTCTCCCCCATCCCTAGCTCTTTTTCCTGCTGCTCTCCCATATACCCACCTAAATCACATGATTCATGGATCCACCAGACTCCGAGGAGTTTATCAGATTTTAATCCTGCATGTCAAGGGCTGAGGGACTATGGAGAGAATCCACTGGCCCAACAACTTAGGCAAAAGTTAAAGGAGTTAACAGGTCTCA